ATGGCGAAGGGCTCTTTCAATCGAGCCGAGCAGGTCTGTCAGACCCTGACAGCAGAACAGCTGAGATTGGCCGAGGTCGAGATGCGCCGGGACAAAGTGACGACAGATAAAGATGTATCGTTTCTACTGCGCGAGCTATCCATATTTGGTTATGCCCAGCCTCTATCGAATGAGACTCGCCTGCTGATGCGGAGAAAAATACAGTCACTTATTATCTGGACCGGCACCCCTGCGATTTGGTTCACAATCAACCCAAACGACATTAATAACCCCGTCAAGATGAAGCTCTCAGTACACAGGCTGCATGACCGTGATGTGGCGGAAGATTTCCTAGCAGAAGCTCGCGGGCGGTTCGACAAGATCGCTCTCAGCACCCTGGATCCGGTCAGCTCCGTCATCTTCTTCCATCGCGAGATTTCCCTATTCTTCGAACACTACGCCAAAGCCGGCAAGGAGTCAGTTTTCGGGAAAGTCAGTCACTATTATGCTACAGTGGAAACAAACGATCGAGGTAGTCTACACTTGCATGGGCTGTTCTGGCTCCACGGAAATCTAGAGCTACCATCGCTTTGTGACAGCATGGCCGATCCCCAAGAGGATGAGTACCGATCTCATGTGATTCGTTACGTCGACTCCGTCTTTCACGAGTGCCTAGACGAGAAGGCTGGGAGGACGATGCGGAAGGAGAGAAAGCCAATCGACCCTGTCAAGGACATAATGATAAGCACCGAGGCTCTTACTGCGGCCTTTGAAGACGAAGCCAATTACATTGCATACTGTAGCCAGGTACACTCCCACACATTTACCTGCATCAAGTATTCTCTGAAGGGCCTATCTAGCCAGGACACAGATGCACATAAGCGTACCGCATGCCGATTCAAAGCCCCCTGGAAGATCGTCGAGGAGACGGGCTTCGTAGAGGACGGCCTGCTTAGGATCCGACGCAACCACGCCTTGGTTAACCGACATAACAAGGCAATGGCGGTCGGGCTCCGCCACAATCATGACATCTCGTTGATCTTGACAAGAACCAAGGGGCTCGCAATGGTCTTTTACATCACAAATTATGCCACTAAGCTAGATACGCCGATGTGGAAACGCATTGCCATTGCAGGCGAAGTTTTGGGACAGCTATACCAGTCGGCGGATGGCCCGTATCAGACGCCAAGTTCTGGCCCTGGTATTCAACACCCGACCGTTCTCAACCAGACCCGCCAGTTTCTGATGAGGGCGGCAAACCGAATATTCTCAGAGAGGCAGCTCTCGTCAGTGGAGGTCTGTTATCACCTGCTCGGTTACCACACGGACTTTACCAACGTGCCCCAGTGGTCTTTCATAAACTTGACCGCCCTGTACTGGTCCATATTCAGACGATGGCGGCATCTACGTAGCCTGTCTAGAGAACACGCCGACGTAGACGACCCACCTGAGACCATCGGCCTCAGAGACAGCGGCAGGACATTACTGTACTTGGATGCCTACGCCCGCCGGGGTCCAATACTGAGAAGTCTATGCCTATATGATTACATGTCTATGGTTAGCCTCGAGCGTTGCCGTGGTCGAGAAGAGGATGAAGCCCACATCTCTCTCGACGGCCTCCTTCCGGAGCCAGATGGTTGGTTACAGAAGCTCCGGGGGCCTCCTGAATATACGGTACCCATCTTCCAAGGATATATCAGCGATGATCACAACGACGAGCACCCGGTCTACTTCAGGCGGTAAGCGTCCCCCGGACATCCAAACATGATGATTCGCAGCCGGTACTAATCTGCCTAGGAACTCTACTCTCCACCTGGCTCTATTCGTGCCATGGGAAGACTTCCTTGCCAAGGCCGATGGAGACATTACGGACATTTGGACAAACCACGTTGCCGCACTCCCACCGCGATTGCGATCCCACGTCTCCAATATCTCTCTTCTGAGAAAATCGGCAGAGGATGCGCGCAAGGACGCAAAGCTCTGGGCAAGCCGGTCGGAAGGTGATGACACAGTCGACACGGAGTTCCCACTTGACGAGGGCAACCATGCTGAAGAATCTTCGACAACAGCTGAGCATAAACAGAATTACACCGCGCTCCTCCACATCCTGCAAAATGCTGTAGCAGACTCGGCAGCAACGAGACGCTCGCCGGTACTGCAAGCCTTGCTCCGGGACCTGCGTCATGAAAACCCAGCAGAGGAGCAATGGTCCTTTGTGCAGCGTCCCCGGGGTTTCTATGACCAAATTTGCCGTTCCCAGAAAAGCTCACTATTCCAGTATCCAGCTCTCTCTTACGAAGATGTGCAAGCAGCGGCAAAGGCCCAAGGTATGCTGCATCTCCGCATGCTCGATGAAATCGAGAGTGGTCCTCAATCGGCGCCAGGCACGATGGGAACCGAGGACTTGGATGATATACTTGTTCGCCACTGTGACGCAGACGTTCCCATTCCAACTCGGTGTCTAGGGTTGGTCAACTATGGCCCTCGGATGGCGGTCGACGTCAATCATACAACAGGCTTTTCGGAAGTGGGACGCGCTGCCGCATTGTCGTTTACCCTCAACCCCCTCCAGACAATGGCCCTTCAACTTGTGTGCAAATTCTTAGATCGATACGCTGCTGACCCTGAGTCTGCCGGCCAGCATCTTCAGTACACCGGAGGTCCTGGAGGAACCGGCAAGTCCAGAGTTATCGACGCCCTGAAATGGGTATTCTCGACGAAGGGCCAATCACATCTTCTTCAGATCACCGGCACCTCGGGAAGCGCGGCGGCCCAGATCGGCGGCACAACCCTACATTCCGCTTGTGGGCTGGAAACTCATCGCTCCTCCCAAGCACAACTCCCGATTTTCTCCGAAGCGAAGAAATGGACGTGGAAACAGAAGTTAGTTCTCGTGGTCGATGAAGTGAGCATGCTTGGAGGCGCCACTTTGTACGAGGTCAGCCGCAATCTCCAGTCACTCCGGGACACCGCCGATAAGCCATTTGGAGGGATTCCAGTAGTGCTCCTGATGGGGGACTTCTACCAGTTCGCTCCAGTTCGTGAGACGAGTCTCCTGGTCAATAAAATGATAGACCCTTCTACAACGCTATTGGGACAAGGAATCATCTCGCACCACCGTGGCTTCGGCTTGTGGCAGATGTTCAAGACAGTGGTCCTTCTCAAAGAACAGGTTCGTGCACGGGATGATCCTCGCCTAGGTGCCCTGCTCGATAGAATACGGGCTGGGGTTCAGACACATCAAGACCTTCTCATGCTCAACTCAAAACTTGTCCGTCGAGACCAAGTCAGCTTCAGTACGGGATTACGTGCCATAACGCCGCTGAACCGAAACCGCTGGTCACTTAACATGGAGGCCGTCGTTGACTGGGCTCGGTCTCACAAGAGACATATTTCCATCTTCATCTCCGCGCATACCTGGCGAGGTGGCTCTCTCTCAGAAGACCAGATGGCAAGGACTATCGAACTAGGAGACGACTCCAGCTGCAAAGTTCCCGGTGTATTCTTCTACGCCCAAGACATGCCCGTGGTTGTAAATCAAAATATTTACACCGGACTCAAGATCGTCAACGGGGCTGAGTTTACCACCTATGATTTCGCGCCTGATCCGAGATACCCAGGTTTCCACCTGGCCGATGATGTGACAATCCACTTCGGACCACCACTCGGCATACTTTTACATTCGAAGGACATCAAGAGCCTATCCATACCAACCCTTCCGCCGGGGACGGTGCTTGTCCGCTCGGTGTCGCAGACCCTCGATCCGACTAACCGCAATTATAGGTTTCTGCCTGCAAAGTGCGCCCGCCGCGGCCTGCCTGTTGTACCCGCATTTGTACTCACGGATTATAAGGCTCAAAGTAAGACGTTCGCGGAAGTTCTTCTTGAGCTGCGAGGGAATCGTGTCATCAATGGCGAGCCATCTAAGTGCGACTTCACCAGCCTCTATGTGCAGCTATCGAGGTGCAGGACACTGGATGGCATCAAGCTCCTCAGTCCCGTGCGTAGTCAGGATTTTATCGGGAACAAAATGGACCATTCCATCGTCGAAGCGATGCAAAGACTCTCAGATCTCGCCGCAGAAACGAAACGCGCCTACGAAGGCCCTGATACCGGACAATGGTAACGATGAGATTAAACACAGACATCTTCCTATAATTCATCCTATGACCTGATTTCCGCTAATCATCGTGGTCTTCCTCGCCGTCTTTGTCAACCCATACCTGCTCTGTTGTCTTTCACCAATGAGATCAAAGATCCAGCCACATCACATCCACTAGATGGTTATTAATGCTATTCCCAATCAAAATTTGATACGCGACAGCGTCTCTTGAATTATTTTCTCTTGAATATGTTCTCTTTACATCTCTTCATAAAATAGTCGTCTCACAATCGTCATCTTGGTTTCAACAACTCTCTTTCCGTAATCCAGAAAGTCTCGTTCCGAAAGGCCTGCTGGCGGGCCCCGTAGGGGGCCGGTCTCCTGTGAGGAACGAAAAGGTTCTTTCTTCCGCGCCCTCCTTCCGATCAATCGTCTGCGCCACAGTCTGCGCCACGGGTTGCGCCACGGGTTGCGCCACAGATGTGCCTTTAATAAGGGACAACGCCACAAACTCGTGCACCATAGTTTTTGCACCACATTTTTTATTATTTATATGTAGTTATTATAGACTCGCCGCACTTGACTAAGCCTAAATAAAACAAAGTAAATACATTCACTCACAACAAGACGTAGCACAGCCACTAAGATAACCAGATCCGAAAGAACAGAGATAAAATACCGGCAATGTAAATAGTAAAATCCCCAAATCACATGCACGACCACCCGCGTCCGGATTGCCAATGGGTCTGCCCTGTAGATTCGCCATTCAAATAGTAAATAAAAAGAACAAGAGAAAAAAATGATAATAGATGTGTTGTCATTCTTTTGTCGTCGCAGAATTTTTGAAAGTTGAAGAAAGCAAGTTGTTTCGGCTGAGTCAGGAATCAAATCAAACTCCAGTTTTCCTCCCAGGACGCATTCATCGTGTGGCAAAGCAGCACATGAGACTCGTCTTCGTCAAGAACCAGAGGAAACCAATAAAACGGACGATAGAGAGGGCAGCAGTAAAGTATAAGAGCGCTCGGAAGAAGTAAGGTGTTCGGCTCTGTGAAGCTTTCTGTAGAACGAGTTAGTTAGCATCTCACTTTTGTGTCCACTAGAATGATGGTAAAGGTGTAGGGCTGTTGCTTACCTGTACGCCAACAGACTCAAACGCATCACTGGTCACACCAACGATGAGGATCAGATTCGACAGAAGCCATGACACCACTAGACCGGTACGGAAAGACTTGTACCCATCCTCAGGGTCCATCCGCTCGACCTCGATCTCTTCCTCGAAGGCTGTCAGCGCACGGTAGACAGTCTTCTTGAACTGACTATCAATATCCTCCTGTCCTAGGTCCACTTCCTCGACGATTGCATTACCACCGTTATCCTTCTTAACCTCTGCTGAGGGGAGCTTGTCGGCCTTGTCGGAACCCTTTGTTCCCCACGACACATCATGCCAGTTGTTGAAGGCGTAGACCATGAGAATGTTGATGTACGTTGACATAAGCACAAAATAGTAGGGGAAAGAGTGGAACATATGCCAGGGATCCAGGTAGAGGAACGACGCGAGGTAGTTGAGACCGAAGATGGTGATGAGGGCGAGCAAAATGACTCCGGCAATACCCTCTTGACTGAAGAAGCTTTGGAAAAACGCAATACCGGAAGATGTATCGATCGAGTTACTGAGTGGTTCGCGCAAAGCACGATACACTAGATAGAAGGACAGAATATGAATATATAACTGAATGAGGCCAAAGACAAAGAACGAGGCCACATATGTGAACCGTGAGCCCTTGGGTCGATTACCTAGCGCAAGAATAAACTGAATGAGCAGGAACACAATGTACAGATAGAGGATCAGGACATTGAGAATCGGAGTTGCCGTATCACCGAAGGGCCACCCATGATAACCCTGAAGAATCGATGGGCTACCGACCAGGTCCATAATAATAAATGTCGTAAGGTAATAGGAGGCGAGAGAGAACCAAGAGAAGATGACGTTGAGAGAACTGTAAATGAGTTGGATATGCAGGAAGAACATGCGGATAATGCTATGGCCGGAACGATAGATACGACCGAAATGCATGAGTGAATACAGAGACGCGGCGAAAGAACCGTTCAGCCATCGACGACGTTGACTCAGAAATTCCGGGGCGCCTTCAGGGACATCAGTCTCGCCCTTGGCAGCCTTGATGTAGCTCAGATGCCACTTTTGACCAGCCTTGGCGACCAACTCGAAACACAGGATACGATCCTCAGCCAAGAACATGTTTTTCTTGAAGATATTCATGCTATCAATTCCCTTCTTGCCCAGACGCCTCGAGAGCGTGTGATCACCGTGGAAATACTGCTCTAGAGGTCGTCCCATAATAGCACGGAATCGGTAAGCAGAAAAGGCACCTGGCAAGACAGTAACATAACCAAAGGTGCTTTCCAGTGGTTTATCAAGAATATTAGAGATCTTATACTCGTAGTTCTGCACAGCAACAAGCGGATTGAGAAGCTTGATACCGTTCTTGCCCAACATGGCGTGGATTTCACCGCAAGCGCCACCAAGTTCCTTATCATTGTAAAATCCCTCCCAGAGTGAAAGCAGGGACCCTGGGCTAGGCTTCGTTCCGCTATCAATTAAGATCGTGACTTCTGGGTTCAAAATACGACCGAATGCATTAAACACCCAACGATGCGAGTTGATCTTCTTGGTGTTCTTCTGCTTCAGACAGAAGATGAATTGCGCAGGCGGGAGGTTGTGAGATACCTTTCCCTCTGCCGAAGGTCGAATGAGCTGCTGATCGGAAGTAATAGAGAGCTGACTGGTGTACTCGAAGATGTGGGCAACTGTCTCCTTGCCCTGGACGTCTTTCTTGACCACACCATCCTGGTAAATACCAATTGTTGCAAGCACGTCGAGGACGTTCTTGTCGGCCTTGTCAATACCATCGAAAACCAAACAAACGACGATCTTCTGCCATGCTGGACCACCCTTGTTCCAAAACTTAGACTTCTTGAGATTTGTAATGTCTCGAATGTTCTGCATCACACCGTGGAGGGTACGGGCAAGGAGCACCTTGTCTTCGTTGTAGTAGGTGATGGTGATGAGAAGCTCGGTTTGGCGATTGTACATGCGAGGGCGCAAATCGTACCCGTTCTTGAGCGTAAAGTCGTTGGGGTCGCAGGTCGCAGCTGTGTATCGCATCATCATGAACTCCTGCTCGGCACCTTCAACGTCACGGTATCGAGGCTCAACGGCATTTTTGACGGCACTAGGAACGGGATAGTCAATGCTCAGAACGGAACCCTGGACCAGCTTGATCTTGCGAGTGTCACGCCGTCTTAGACCAGAGTCCACGACAGGCTGCTGCTGCCTGTCTGCCCAACTCTCCTCAGGGTCGCTGTAGGTCGACACGGGCCGACCATAGCCATACTGGTAGTGGTCGAAACCAAAGGCGGATTCGGGCCGAGGAAGATAGTCTGGCTGGTGGCCGAGGGGGAGAGGAGGAGTCGGGTCGTCATCGAAGCTGAAACCTGAGGCAGCGCTTCTAGGGCGACGTTCTGGCGTGTACCCTACTAGCACACTACCTCCCGGCGGGTATGGACTCTCAGGTGGTGCTTGCTCATGGGTTGGAAGATGAGTCTGTGTGTCATATCCGTGCTGATTAGAGGAAGGCTTATTTCGCCGTGTATTTGACGCTCGCATTCTTGTATACTTACCGATGAGTCTATGGGAATATCCTGGAGTTGGTAGACGCTATTGTAGTCTTGCGGGCCGTGGTCAGCCCCGTCGCTGTCGCGGTTCATACTGGGTTAATTAAATAGTAGACACGACGGCCTGCTCTATAGTGTTTGTACAATATGATGTTGGTTTGGGAAACGCTGATATATCGCGGGCCCGGTGCAACGCCCAAATGTGCCCGGTTTCGCCGATTGAAAGCTGGAGCAAATGGGATATAGTAGAATAGATAGTATCGTCGTGTCACACGGCAATGACAGATGTATTCAAACACACGTGTGTAGGCGTGCGCGATTGGCGTCTGTGAGAAAGAGGAGCGAAGGTAAGGCTAAGCGAGTGACAGGTGGGAAAACGCTGGATCGCCTGGATGGACCAGCACAAGCCAAGACTAGGAGGAGAGACAACAAACAGCGAGTGAAGAAGACGGGTCGATTCCGCAAGGAAGGTCCAAGAAAAAAACCAACCTTTGACAAGAAAGGTTCATTTAAGTGGAGGGGGATGGTGACCGAGACTCTACATTCAACAGCACAAGGCCTTCTATTTTAGGCTTAACTACAGCCTGGGGAAACGAACGATATAGCCTTGCGATGCGAACTCTATATTTAGCCTCAGCCTCTGTAATTAATACATCGCTTCAGCAGTCACATGCTTTGGGCTGAAGAGCTCTAGGTGACGATTCTCCCCACTCCTTTGCGATTTTTACATCCGAGTCAAACGCCTCTAGCTTCCACGTCTTAAAAATAGCAAAGCGGTGAGATACAGACAGCACGACATGCCAGAGTATTTCGGCAACTTCGTGTTCACATCCAACGCGACGCAGTTCATTTGTCCGGGTTGGCCCGGGTCGGGAACCGGGTGGTTCTGTGAGCCTCCGAGCGCCTGCGCGATGGGGCCAGATAAAGTTAAGCAGTACTGCTGCACTTCACAGGGCGTCTGCTATACTATTGCGCCGGCATACGCTGGCGATGGCAGCACTCTCACATGCAACAGTGGCATATATATATGGTACTGTCTGAAAGAGAACTTACTGGGATACAAAAGAGGGGGTTTCTTATCGATAAACGCAGTTTATCTAGCGGCTGATGTCAGCTGGATATTTATGGATATTGATATGGCAGCGCTTGCTAGGTGATAAAAATAGTGCTCGCGGTAGGCTTTAATCACGTGATTGTGACGTTTTGCCTAAGATAATAGAATGTAGACTAGGAAGTCACGTGCTGAAAAAGAGTGTACCTCCATGACGATGGCAAGGTAGTAATTCACGGTCTCCATCAGCAACACGTCTAGGTTGAAATCAGGTGGATCCCATCGCATCAGGGGGGTTCAGGGCATTGAAGCGGCCGACAAAGCAGCCAAGGAAGCAACAGGGTGGAGGGATGACAATCAGGCAGGCCCAAGGGCAGAAACCCCATTAGAGATATACTAGCTAGGAACGACAATAAGAGCATGGAAAGCAGAATAGCTTTCCAGAATTAGTAGGAAGAGTGGGAAACGGAAACCAGAGGGAGAACAACCTTCCGCTATACCCAGAAATCCACAAGGAAGTCCTATAACTTCATACTTAGTTAAGTAAATAACAAAGCTCCCTTCTTACCTAACTCTAGATAGAGAAAATTAGCCTCAACGACTTCTTATTTAACTAATATATTCCAGGTATTATAGACCCTAAATCTAACTATAGAGAAAGTTAGCAAACTATAATACATACCATACTATAATACTAAAAATAGCAACGCTTTTAACAATAATTACTAGGGCTATTCCTAGGAAGTCTTTAGAGAATAGTTAATAAACTTAGATTAGCTATTAAGGCTATTAAATTCATAAAACAAACATAGATCCTCTAATGATTCAGGATCAAGACGTAACTAAATGTATCCCTACACTAGGGGGAGACTAAAGGTATATTAGACATAAAAACAAGGAAACCACCTCATAAGAGCCTAAAAGCATATATATATTAATATTAAAACCACTATCTACAGAAGCTAGCAGGCAGAAGTAGATAGAGGTTAAAGAGGAAGAAGCGAGAATTTCAGGGATAGCTAGTTATATTAGCATAACAGAGCGAAGTAGGGCATCACATTTTTTTTATCTACGGCGCTTCAGCTATTTGCCGGACCTCGCTTACCGGGCATAGCTGCGTAACGGCATAGCGGCTAAAACCGAGTAGGATTAAGTCAATCAATCAATGAATCGATGCTGTCATTCCAAGTGCCTAGGGATATTCGTAGGCTTATGCCGAGAACCCGAGACACGACGAAATAGTCCGTATTGCAGGTGTGCAAGCCACTATTCATCTCTCCTTGGAATGCCTTCAAAATCTAGTGGCTTTAGTCTAAGACTTAACATTTTCACCAGCGCGCCCGACATCCATATAATGCTAAACTAGAAAGTGACCATCGAGAGTTGCCTGCAAACACTTCGCTTTAGAGAGATAAATACAACAGAATTTGAGTTGATATGCATTGATCTCCTAACGGTCACGTTGGTTGAAAACAAATACTTGTCTCCTGTCCGTCAACTTCTGAGGCATTGTTTCTAGGCGCGATAGTTCGCGAATCCGTACAAAAAATGTCCATGGGCTAGTTATTATGCTTGAGCAATCCGAAGTGTTTTGAGGTTAGACTTGGTGGTTAGTGTATAGGGACTTCCTGCACTGGTGGTTGCTACTCAAGTCCCATGGTCGATTGAAATATCATGTGAAGACACTTAGCCACATCACTGAGAGGGGGACTTACCGAAATCCATCTGTCTCCGAGTGCTGGTGACTGCTCTCGCCCAATGCCGGCCGGCCGCACTAAGCCTGATTGCAAGAGTGAGAGAAGCGTTCAGATATTTGATATTTACTTTCGAACGAGGAACTAGTCGGTTTTATAGTATCTCCAGTCAGAAGGACGACCAAGACTAGAGCATTTAACCTGTGGAAGAGAAGAATGCATACGTAATGACTCAAATTATAATTTCTCTTTAGACCATAGTGTGATATAATGGTTGTTTGATCACGCCTTTCGGGGGCAGCCACGGGGGCGTTTTGTAGAATCTCCGTTGTTGCTCTTCTTTCCCTGTTCATGACTCTTTGTAGCCATTTTTGAATCTCCAGCTTCCCGTGCGAGCTGAGCGGACTGGCTCCCAGTCCTCTTGTCTAAGACACAAAGTAGCGTTAAACTACAATGCTATCGAATGCGGGGTCTGAGTAGTAAGCCAGAGCCTGTGCGCCCAAAGCGCAAAAAAAAACTGGTTCGCCGGCCCTCGTAAGCGCCTTACTTTAAGCGCCTTACTTCTCAAGCTCTTAACTCGTTCCGAAAAGGCATTGGCGGACCCAGTAGGGGACCGGTCTCCTGTGCCTTGTGAGGAACGAAAGGCTCTTCCGTCCGCCCCCTCGAAAAGCAACACCTGAAACACCGCCACCTGCGCCACAAAGCCTGCGCCACATCCAGCCACATCTCAATAGCCACAGCTTAGACTTAGGAACATCCCTGGCCACCTAATGGTGCGTGCCATAGCGTGCTCACCAGCTTCACCACAATTGCTGCACCACGATCTTTCATACGGTTGGGCCACATAACGGTCCGGCACACAGACCCCTGTGCCTCTTCATTCGCCATGATAGATGCACCATGTTTACGCCACAAATCCCTTTCAGCGGCTACTTTTATCAGCCTAAACTAAGAAAAAAATTTAAAAAAAAATTCATATATTAACACTTTTAAAGATTACGACATCGAAGGCTCAAAGACCCTTCCGGTCGAGGGAATTATGCATGATATCGAGACTCTTACAGCGGCTTTTCAACTATAGGTCCTCGTAATAATTGGCGGGAAAAAGGTGGAGCCGGAAGTGATGTTTACGCGCCTTGCGTGCTTAGGTTGTCTGTAACAGTAAGGCATCCGTATTTTGTCATTTGCACGGTTGCATTCCCCGGAACGCGAAATGTTACTACCACGGAGGTGCCATATTTAACATTCCCGTTCTACGCAAATCAGGCACACGGATGCCAAGCAGAAACCGGCGGGGCTGGCATGAATGAGGGGCACAGACTAGACACGTCGCACGATGACAGAGGTGAGCATGTGGCTAGGTTTCCCAATCTTCGACTGAGCCCTGAGATTCAACTCTGGCTGACGTACTCTTCATACATATGCTATAGGCTGTTTGTCATATCTGTGACAAGATCGTCCGACTGTTGCGAACACCACACTCTTCCCTCCCTTCGGAGACACTTGGAACTGGTAAAGAGGTTCTTGGGCCATCTCCGGGGTGTGACATTCACCAGAGACTGGTTGCTTCGGCCTTAAGCCTAGATTCCCTTCCGCCTCCCATCAGCTGCTCAGCAGTAGCAGGATACATCAGAACCATTAGAATATTGAAAATCCCAGATAACGCAGGCGCCATCATCGTGGCAGATATGATCCAGTCCTCTCCAGTCGATAGGCTACCCCTCACGGCACTATACGTCTCAAAAAGCTCAGATTATCCGGATGACTTAATCGGAGGCCAAATTCTTCATCGAAAATAGATTGATACCGGTCTTCCGGCAATGTGGAAAGAGTCTTGCACATGTCTTCACGGTGGCCTTTGCAAGAGCATTCCAGTTCAGACACTATCTTTAATGCGGCCGACTTGGCTTGTGGACATTCACAAGCAATGTATAATCGCCGCCCCTGATGAATGCTCATATATAGCCCTCAGCTATGTTTGGGGGAGTGAGAAAATACTACTTGCCCTGCGGAGCAACCACGACCTTCTCCGGCAGCCTGGTTCCCTGACCCAAACCACGTGGGAACTACCCATTTCGATAACAACATGCGATGCGATGGGTATTGTCGAACTCTTAGGCGAGAGGTACCTCTGGGTTGATACACTTTGTATTGTGCAAGACGAGGAATTGCAGAAACAGAAGGATCTGTCCAAGATGAGCGGCATTTATGCCAACTCTTCGGTTACTATTATGGCGGTGCAGGGTGAAAACGCCAATAGTGGCTTAAGAGGGATTCGCCGTATCTCAGAGCCCAGAAACCTGCGCCAGATTGTCCATTGCTTGGCCGACGGCATGATGGTGATTCAGTTTCCAGTTGGAGGGGACCATTATGAGGTATTATGCGAGGATCCCGTGTGGCCAACCAGAGTATGGATGTGTTAGGAGTATTTGTACTCGAGAAGAAAGCTTATTTTCGACGGCGATTCGCTCCGTTGGGAGTGTACGGAAGCCGTCTGGCGCGAGCATATTGAGTAGACCACACGCCTTCGTCCCTCTTATGAGAACATCACCAGCTGCTAGTCTATATTCCAGTCCCTAATCCCTGACTTCAACGGATTTACCAGAATTTTGACGGAATATAACAGTCGAAATCTCACTTATCCAGAGGACACCCTCGATACTTTTGCAGGCATATCATCGGTTATATCATTAGCCGTTAGTGGGAACCTGATCTCAGGTCTCCCTGCTGCTTGGTTCGATATATGTCTACTATGGGGCCCTAAGAACAGTGCATCGCGCAGAGCTGCTAAAGGTTCGAAGAAGAATTATTGTCTTCCGAGCTGGAGTTGGGCCGGTTGGTCTGGCCCTGTCAAGATGGATGTAGTATCTGCCTCGGATTTTCTCAGAAGCTCTCCTAGGGTGCAGATGTGGATGATGAGCTCCGCTAGAGTGGCCACGCTCGTATCGTGGAAGTACCATGAAACGCTAGAATCGCCCGGGAGACTCATCCAACCCGTTATCATCAGAAGCCGAGAGGAGTGGTTAGGAGGTCGAGTGGAATGTACCTCTGACTGGACCAGATATGATACTTCTGAAAGCCCTACGGTGAAATACGAGTACTAAGACCTCAACTCCGCACCATCTTGTTTCTTTAGGCATTTCAAACATCCTGGCTTTGAATTTTGGTATCCTATTCCTATTCCAGAGCCGGGAACCCCTTGCTCTATTATTAATGCGCCTTATATTTCTTGTAAAACACGTCGAGCTTCGCTTTTTCCTGCAGAGAGTATCCGAGCCTACCCGCCATTGTTTTCTCTCCGAGACGAAGGCGGAGGGTGGGTTGGAGCCCTGGAGCCACTCGTAGGTATTGATAAGTTTGGAAAGACGATGACGGAGCAGCCCACAGCACTCGAGCTAGTTGAGATTGCGAAAGGCTCCTGCTGAAACACTACCTCGCCTCACCCTGGGCTCCAGGAAATTGACCATCCGGATAAGCCCAGCGGGGGCGACTGGTATTATTACTATTGGGTGATGTGGGTAGAGTGGAAGCAAGGAATTGCCTATCGCAAGGGAGTTGGGCGAGTCTGCAAGGAGAGGTGGGAGGCACAAAGCAGAAGTGAAGTTGACCTGATGATTGGGTAGAGCACAAGAAAGAAATGAAGAAATATTACAGTAACTAAAATTTCATTGTTAGTTATCGTTATGTCGTTAGTTCTGACTTTCTTGCACTCTTAGCACCTTCTCTCTACGTGCGTATCTCGCATATCTACACAAGCTAGAGGCCTAAGCGTGGTCCTAAAATATGAACTAAAAACCAGCAATACCCGATTCGCCTTTACTATACTGTAGCTGTACACTCTACAAAGCGTACGTCGCAACTTGTTTTCTATACACCCTCTAGGTCACAAAGTCTTGTGTGAGTGCCATAGCGGTCCGTGCTTCCGCCCAGAATTATTCCAGCTCAGCACTTGTCACAAGCCAACGCCTGCCTGTCAGTCTCGTTCCGAAAGGTCTGCTGGCGGGCCCCGTAGGGGGCCGGTCTCCTATCCTAAGCTCGGACCACCAGTGAACCGTGCAAGCATGCACCACAGTTGCTGCACCACAATCTCTGCGCCACTAATGCCTTGAGGAACGAAGAGACGAAAGGATCATTCTTCCGCGTCCTTTCCGCCAGCGAAAAAGCTCAGATCACTTAGAGATCTGTGCACGCTTCACCACACTTACTGCGCCACCTTCAGCCACCTATTTGAGCCACACAGTCACAACAGCTTTCAGCCCAACATCACATTGCTTCCCAACATCTCAGTGATATCTGACTAGGAAGCTTCCTTCATTAGCAGGCGATTCGTTTTCAAAGAATCCGCCATAATGCCACAATCTGAGGGTGCAGTAGCAGGCCTCTCACCTGGTGACTTCCCCCCAGCCTCGCCGAACACGTCACTGCCAGCAACGATATGTGCTAAGATATTTCCTGGAAAGAATGCAGAAACCGCAGAGGTCATACTAATAACAGATGACGCTATACTGGAAGAAGCAGCAACCACAGTTACTGAAACGCCGCTGAAAGTCCGCCCAATGACCCCGACTAAGTCTACCGTTTCGGATTCCATGGTAGAGCTTCCAGATACTGAAGAAACTATTGTTCTGCAAATATGGAAGAAAGCACTATCACTTGATGAAGGAAGATGCGGTGCTACTACGAAATCTACGAACAATATTGAGCGCTGCATGATCAAGATAGCTCCGTTGAGGACGACAGAAATTGAGAACCTGATAAAAATGCTCAGGCGTCTGAACCACTCACCTCGGCAAGTTGAGAAACGCCTCGATGATCTCGCAAAGCTTGTACACTGTCACTGGCACGATCACCCACCTATTCGTGATATTCGAATAGACGAGTGGTTAGCAGCGCTGCCTGATTCACCACGCACTCCGACGCTGGAGAGACGGCTGCGCACTATTCTCGGGCCAGCGCCAAGCAAATGTGCGAGTCTGACAAGACTGGGCAAGCCCTGTAAGAAGTCGGTCAAACGCGAGGATCAGTATTTCTGTGGGAAGACTATTAGTAAGATGGTGCAGATAGCGACTGCCGCTTCAGATGACGACACTTTGGATGACCTTGCGCTGGTTTTGCGGCATCATATGCTGTGCCACTCTCACCAGAAGTACACTCCTACATATCAGGACGAGTGTGCATCAGCCATCGATAAGTTCCAAGCAGCTTGTCAACATGAGAGAAAAAGGCGGGAAACCGAAAATGCAATTGCAGAGGCAAACAACACCGGTGAGGGCAATACAGCTGTCCTAGTGGACAGCGGCAGCCATGCACTCATAACGCCACCATCTAGCCCGAAAACATTCAAAATGAGCCGGAATCCTCGCAACTACTGGAAAGAGGGATTCAACACGAGCCCGTTTAACGTGCTCGGGAAAAATGACACCGCGGTAGAATATAAGACCCCAAACGAGATGATTCAGAGTGTTGCGGAGGATTTACTTGACACAAACCCGAAACTGTCAGAGAATGAGGTGACCAATGGTTATCTGTATTCATTCAGAGTACCTGGCAATGGACGCTTTGTCAAAATTGGATTCACGACGCGAGAAGGTGAGATTCGTATTGGGGAGTGGAAAAAGAGTTGTAATCGAGATCCTGAAGTTCTCTACCTGGTAATGAAAGTTGTGCCACATGCGCACCGCGTCGAGAAGTTGGTACATGCAGAGCTCACGGAGCATAGAGTGCGGATATACTGTGGGCGATGCGGGAAACAGCACATTGAGTGGTTTGAGGCCCCGGAGGCTATTGTAATTACTTCTCTGAAGAAATGGTTACTGTGGATAGCGGGTAAGCTGTATGAAGAGAAACATTCGGAATGGTATTTGAAGGAAAAGTACAAGAAACGTCTGCACGACGTCGGGGAATTCTTGAAGACTTGCAAGAAGAAGTAGAGGCTGCCGAATTGGGAAAGCAAATTAGCTAGGATAGGGTGCCACTCGAAAGTCACCATGAGGAACCTTTCAGAAATTTGTAGCAGACAAGCGATGTACACTAAGCCATGGTCAAAGCACCTCATCCAATCTTCAGCCAACCTGGGCAATCCATAAGCACCAAGTGCAGGCCCTCAAGTCGAGCGGGAGGAGCTCGGTACAGCCAAGGGGCTGAAGCCAACATGCGAGCGCCTGACTCACACACGCTCAGTATGCTCTCGAATCTTAATGACAGCTGAGCGTGCCGCCACTTTCAAGCCAACAGCTAAGGCAAGGCTGAAGTGAAAACAAGGGTTCAGGTCATTAATGGGGAGGGCGGCGATGGCCAACCTCCTCATAAACGCCGCAAGGTCAACCAGGACTTCACGCCAACCATACACTTCCGCAGGCACAGCATGCCAGCCGTTTGCCACACAATATACATACCTACAGCACAACAGGGCTCCCGACCAATTCCGCGGCTTAGACGATGATGTGAAACAACTGTCGCGATAGTCGGCATGCTGAAGGCCTCCGGTGCCTATCATCTCTTCGATAAAGTCAAGGTCTCCTGGATCACCATTAGGATTACCAGAATACTGCTCGAATAGGGATGTCGTTGCACGGTGCTGGAGAAGGTCCAAGAGAAAGTCCGACCCGGACTTTGTGACGTCGAAGAGATTTCGTTCTGGCACGATCTTGCACACATTGCCCAGAGACTCGTCCGAAGAGTACTTCAACAAGGCTCCATCTTTTGCACCAGCCTTGAGACATCTCGCTCGCTGATTCTTACCGAAAGATCTCCAGGTACTCCTGATTGCCGCGGTGTGCATCCCATGTTTTCGACAGAGATCGCCATGCAGCTCTTTCAGCAGAATGACATTCGACGGTGTATCCGGGCGCCAAAATCCGCCATTATTATTCAATCAAACCTTTACCGGTAAATAATGCGAATGGCGCTCCTTTTGTAATCTTAATTGCGGTGAAAAGGTGAATACAAGTGTGCAGATAGGTATGACATCGGTTGCGGGTGCGGGGCATCAGACAGCAGTGACATTATGTCATAATAGAGTTAGTTTTAGAGGGGTACCAACCATCGATTCGCTAAATGCTGACATCCCATCATGATCTTATATAATAACGCTCAGGCTACAGGTGTACTATATATATAGTTATTGACAATATCCACAGCACTTGACCCAGCTCTGAGCTTTTGAAAACTTATTGGCTTCGAAGTTCATAGTAGGCCCGCTCGGAGGCTCGTACCCGAGATTCCCCTAGTTTTGTTATCGATCGAGCCAAGCTATTAATATCTCTCTCTAATTCCAGATACTCTGCTATATAGAGAATTAATCCGTTTGGCAGACAAATAAGCGAAATATTCTTACAAAAACCGTAGGAAGATTCTACAGAAGGGGGGATGTCTAAGGGAAGGGCAGTCTTCGTATTGGAGCACTCGCGGCGGACTATGACATCAGTTTCACATGTTGGCAAGCTGTGATGAATTATGACGTGAGTTGAATAACCCCTCCACGATCGATAGGCTGTTGGAGGCAGTGTGGGCGTGGGTGGTAAATGCGTCTTCATCGTATATAAGTGTCGTACTTAATCTCCCCAAGGGAAACTACATATATTTATGCATATTAAACCGTTTGGCATTTACCGGGCCCGCCTCAGTACAGCATCATATATCTTATGATGGAATCCCAGACAAAAGGACATTCCGAGGCGAGTGAGTACATAACTTTTTTCTCCATCAAATCGCTAAATACCTAACGCTTTCTAAGGCTAGAAGCCTAATAATAGGACAGAGCGCCTCCAAGAAATGTATGGAAGGGCACCACATCGAGATCTCCTTGACCATCAGCTGGACGTACGTATATAGGTGCTTCATCTAAGCACCCTCCTAATCATATCTCCGTCTCATTCTGGTATGTGTTAACTGTATATAGGAAAGAAGGTATTTTGATTCCGGTGACTTCGCCCTATCGCAAGTCCAGAGGGGTTCCGATATTGGAAAAATCAAGACTGGGACCCAACACCCACGCCGGGAGAGCATATCTCATCCAAGAGCTCCTATGCCAGGCTCTATTAATGTCGATGAGAGCGCAAGCAAGGGTCTGCAAGATCAGAAGAAAAGTAGCGAGGTTCAGGTTCAGAGCCACCTTCGTGAAATGGCGCGGTCGGAGAATGGGAAGTCGTAGTGTTGGACGCGTGACACTAGTATATTTATTTCTGCAGATTCTGTAGATTCTCAAGATTATCGGAGGTGGGCCGAGTGGTCATTTATGGGGGTACCGTGAAGCGGCTGTCGATTGCTGTGGTGGAGGGATCGTGGTGAGCAGGTTTTGGTGTAGTCGTTTAGCAGGGCTAGAAAATAAAACGAAATACTCTTTTATTACTTTTAAGGCAAACCCTGGGACTAGAATAGAAATTTCTTTTTCAATGGATTGATACCCTGACTTATAATTCATTTTTATTCCTTAAGATATAAATAACACTATGACTTGATGTGGCCCAGAAACTATGGCAAAGTACTAGGCCAATTGATCACTGCCAGTCGAAGCACCGATCAAATTGCGATTGCACGAAGGCCACATTTGCCAACTAAGCTGGTAATAGCCTGGATGAGAATTTCGTTCAGGCCGGCATACTTAAGAACGTTTTCTTTTCAATCCCACTATAGCCTGACGGTTTCCCTGACTTTGCTCGTCCTCTTTGTAAGAAAGATCATCACTGTTCGCGACAAGCTTACAGGTATGGCCCACCGGATACCAAACATGATCAATAGGCAGGTAAGAAGCAAAGAACCCAACAAGGGAATCTAAGGAATTTGTCCGGAATAGCTGCAGTGCATGTTGCCACTGAGGCGTAGCGATGAGATTCGGGTTTCCGATGATTTCAAGACTCGCAGATTGAAGAGCGTTATTCAACTCTTTAAGACGCTGTTGCCTGCGCTTGTTTGCCAAACGATGAAATTCGGGTGTGGAATCAGCCTGGTGAGAAATTTCCAAAATATCATGGTGAAAGGCAGTATCGTCCTGGATAGGGCATAGGTAAGTATTGTATTGGTCATGGAGCTTGGTGTATATATCTTCTCTTTTCATACCAAACTTCCAGGCCGGCCACGCAGTTGAGGGATCATCCATGGCATAAAAAGCAAAATTTGGATTAGCCAGATTTATTCAGGTTGAAGACAATGAGTGTGGAAGCAGAGTGTACCAATGGAGGGGGCATCGGCTAATACCCTTTAGAGTAGGACCTTAATGTGGGGATGTGAAAAGTGGGACCACAAAATTGTGGCGCATGTACTAGGGCTCAGAATATTACATTGGTTTAGTGCCGAGCAACTTTCTCAATGGTATGCTGAGAATATTGTAAATGACAACAAAGGCTTATGGATGGATAATAACTTCGCTATACTGGGGATGATAATACAGAGTATCAGGTGTGAGAGCATATTCGTGAAGTAAACACAAGATGCTCTTACAGAACCATGGCTTGAAGTGTCATGGTCTCAAATCTCGGTGGCATCATCAAGGAACACTATTATGAGTTTATGTAAGCTAGAGCAGTTGTTGAGGCTTCAAAACAA